TAGTATAAGTATTTAATTTTTTTACATAACACATATATAGTTAAATGAACGCATAAAAATGTTAAATCAATTCATAACGTAATTTTGTTTTTTAGGTTAAAAGAAAAATGGCATGCATATATTTCTTTAAAAAAAAAAAAAAAAAAAAAACATATATACGAATTTTTAGCCCTTTTGTTCATTTGGTTTTTTTTTGTTCCATAGTAATAATGTAATAATAATAATAATAAAAGGAAGAAAAAAAGAGAAAATAACAGTTATCATTTTATGATTTATGATAACGATTAGATAGTTTATATGTATAAAATAATAATTGTAATAACAATAACGATAATAAAGTTTTTCATTATGAGTAAGCAGAGAAACAAAGTGCATAAAAAGGAATTTTAAATTGCATAAATTGTAATGGGCATAATAATAAACTAGCAAAGAAATTAAATTCTTCAACGAATTGCGTAAAAAAAAAGGAGAACTATATTTGATATATATATCATTAGATACATGTTTACTAATTGCAACATATAAAATTACAGTGAAAGAAGTTATTTTTTTTTTGTTTTTTAGTTTGGCGCTAATTACAAAAGATACATTTTAATATTGTCTATAAAAGAGAAAGAATTAAGGGATGTGTCTCGGATGTCTATGATTTTGTATGAATTTTCTGATGCCGACGAAGGTTACTGACAACAGAGAAGTGACGGCCACATCCCTCAACTGGACATTTGAAGGCTGGATAATAAGCAGGAAAACATCAGTATGCTGATTATATGCATGAATAAAGCGAAAGTAGTGCGCCGAATATAAAATTTATTAAGAAAAAAAAAATTGGATAAAAAAAGAACAAGACCTACGTTTCTCACCCGTGTGACTATAAGTATGAGTTTGCAAGGAACTTGGACGAGTGAATCTTTTTTGACAAATATTACATTTGTATCTCTTCGGAGTAGAGGAAACCGTCTTTGAACTAAAAGTGGTCATCATTGTTTGGGGAGCAGGGACTGGTGGAGGTCGGTTTTGATGGAATTGAGGTGGCGTAGTGCGTGTAACGTTTCCGTTTTGGTTTTGCATAGGAGTTATTGATGCTGAATAGTCATGGGAAGTAGGTGGCATTGTGTTACCAAAAGTTGGTGGCATTCCACTATAATTCGCAGGCGGTTGCCCATAGTAGTCAATTTGTTGGGTCGTATTAGATCCGGATGGCAACTTCATTGATGAGTCTGTGAAAAATGGAGGGTTCAACACAGAGGCATAATAAGATTTCTTCTTTATTGATGAATACGAACCGAAAGAATAAGGAGCAGCACCAGGAGTCTCAGATGTAGAGGAACTAGGTTCGATTGCGCTGCGATTCATTTGAGAATTATCAGAAATAATTGATCTGTTATGATGGTCACCGGAATCGTTAGAAGCCATTCTAGTTGAAGGAAAACAGATAGAATCGTCTAAAGGTGGAGAAGGGTAGGCAGTCGGATTATATATGTACTCGGATTGAAATTGCTGTTGAAGAGGAAATTGAGGAAAATAAGCGAGCTGTACTCCGACTTGTTGCTGTTGATGTAAAGGAACGAAAGAAACAGGATTAGTAATAGGATTAGTGAAAGTGTTATAATCTTGTAATTGTTTTTGTTGATGTTGAATATGTTGAATAATGGGGGGATTGCAAATGGATTCTAAAGATGGAGAGTCGAAAAAAATCGTGGGAGTTGTCATTATGTAAAAAAAAAAACTAATACTATAAAAAAATAATAATGTAAAAACTAATACGTAAATTGTAAATTGTAATATAAAACTAATAAAAACTAATAAAATAATAATAAATAATAAATAATAATATTATTATTAAGTTTATATAATTCACAAAGTAACAGGAAATTTCTCGTTATCGAAAAAAAATTCTTTTGATGAGAAGTGATATAAAAAATAGGTAGATGAACATGAGATTAAAAACCAAAGCATGTTTTATATTATCAAGGTCATTAATCAACTAAAAGTTGAACTAAATCTAAAACATTAGAGAAAGGAATTGAAAAAAGAAAGATTTTTTCCCATGTGCAATCAGCACTAAAGTTGTGTAAATACTATTACCTTGAATTTATATTTGAGACTAATTAGACGACATAAAAATAACAACTAGCTGTAACCTCGAATTCAGAGTCCGAATAACTGGTATTTATATATAAAGTCAATCAGGTCCAGAAATGGTAAATGACGCATATATGCGTGTGTTCGTTCGGTTGAATGTATATATGCGGGTTTTTTTTGATATATTATAATAAATATAGTCGATACAATAGTCGATATAGTCGATATAGTCGATAAAGTAGTGATTAGCTTTGTAAAATGAAATTTAATATTCATATAATAAAAATTTTTGCCAATCCTTTGTCTCACCTAGACACGAAGGGATAAAATATTCTTGTGACGTAAGCAAGATGCAACCTAATTATGCTTCAACGCGCAGACACTTAGGAAGACAACTGGCATAAAGATAAATATCACGAGGAAATGATTGTCTTAAAGTTAGGCAGCACAGATGAGTGCGATGAAAAGCATGAGTGAACGGATCCTTGATAATCATACCTCTATTAATTTTTATTATTTTTATTATTTTTATTTTTTTATTTTTATTTTTTTTTTTTTGTTTGTTAACGGAGAAAAAAAATCAACAATAGCGTAAACAAAAACAAGTTTTCATCCATTAAATCGACGATGAGGCCAAAAATTTAACAAACTATGGGATGTGTGCGTCAGAATAAATTATAATTCTTGGAGACACAAGGAATGATTAGTACATACGAAAAATGGTAATCCAGAGGTTTAGTAAAAGTTGCACAACATAGTATTTAACTGGTTGGTGCAGATTCTGTGTTGGGAACGCACATTTACTTTTTAATAGACAAGATCAAACCACTTTTTTTTTTTTTTTTTTGTTTTCGAGTGATAGATTAAAACTAAGATCGCTAGAATTAACGCCTTAAATATGATTTTTCCGCCTATAATTAAAAAAGAAAGATCTCGAGCAAGATGGTAAATAGTAACAATCGGCAAATAACAG